TTTTTTTAAATATTTTCTCTCTTTTTTGTCAGAACTGGGGCTTGAACTCAGGGCCTTACGTTCTCTTGAGGGCTATTTTGCTTATGGCTGGTGCTCTATCACTTGCGACATGCTTCCAGCCTGGGCTTTTTGCTGGTTAATTAAAGATGGCAGTTTCACTGACTTTCCTACCTGGGGTTGGCTTTGAATGTCAGACATTCAGGAGTAACTGGGTGGCTCGAAATACTGGTGCCCAGCTTAAAAAGTTAACTTTGTAGTCACAGAATATTCTTCTTTATGTATTCGTTGTCACAGAGCTGGATAAAGTGGCATATACCTGTAATCTCAGCCCTGGGGAGGCTGAGGCCGGAGGATCGTGAGTTCCAGGCCAGCCTGGGCTATGTAAGGAGACACTATCTCAAAAAGAGTAAAACCCAAAGACACTGGGGTAATGTGACTGTCCTGGAGGGAGAGTGGTCAGGGAAAGCCTCTTTCAGGAGGTGTTAAGTCAGGAGGCTTAAGGAAGAGGCAGATGTGATGATCTAGGGGAAGAACTTTCTCTGATGAGAGGACTACAAGTACAAAGGCCCTGAAGCAGTAGGACCAGATAGACCTTTCTTCTTGGGTGGTATAGCTAAAGATCCAGGGGAAGGAAGAAGAGATGCAGTTGGGTTGGGGACAGCCTTGAAGGCCAAGGTCAGGAGTTTGGGCTTGATTGTGGACAAAGTTATTAGAGATGTTTAAGATAGGGAGTTACATGGTCTCGTCTAGGTGTCTGAAGATCAAAGGAAGTGCTAAGGATGCAGGCTTGGGGAACCCAAGTACCTTGCATTAAGTTTCACAGGGAGGAACCTCTAAGCCAAGATTTCAACCTGGCCAGGCTCACACCTATAATCCTAGCTACTCAGGAGGCTGAGATCTGAAGATTGAGGTTTGAAGCCAGCTGGGGTAGGAAAGTCTATGAGATTTGTTATCTCCAATAAACTTCCAAAAAGTCAGAAGTGGAGCTGTGGCTTATGTGGTAGAGTGCTCATCTTGAACACAAAAGCTTAAGGTCAGTGCCCAAGCCTAGAGTTCAAGCCCTAGTTCTGACACTCCCTCCCTCCCCCCTCTAAAAACAAAATCCAACCTGGTCTGCCTTTTAATTTTTTAAATTTTAAGCTTTTTAGCAGTACTGAAGTTTGAACTCAGAGCCTTGAGCTTGGTAGGCATGTGCTTTACCACTTGAGTCATGCCCCTAGTCCTTTTTGCTTTTTTAGTTTTTTTTCCAGTCTTGGAGCTTGAACTCAGGGCCTGGGCACTGTCCCTAAGCTCCTTTTTTTGCTCAAGGCTAGTACTCTACCACTTAAGCCACAGCACCACTTCTGGCTTTTCTGTTTATGGTACTGAGGAATCAAATCCAGGGCTTCATGCATGCTAGGCAAGCACTCTACCACTAAGCTACGTTCCTAGCCAGTTATTTTTATTTATTTTTAAATTTAATTTTATTTGTGAACATACTGTACAGAGGGGTTACAATTACATGGGCAGGATAATGCGTACATTTCTTACCAAGCATTGCAGCCTCCTCCTTTGTTTACCCTTCACATCCCTTCCCAGCCTCCCCCCTTCCCCCCCAATCCCAATCCTTCTCCTTACTCCTCCCTTCCTCCCCCCCCCCCCCCCCCCCCCCCCCTCTCCTCTCCCTTCCCCCCCCCCCCCCCCCCCCCCCCCCCCCCGCACCGACGTTGTAAAGCTCGTTTTGGACATGACAACTTGTACTTCTCATTGTTGCAACAGGTCCACCTGTATCCTTAAACAACTTAGCCAGTTATTTTTAAAACAGGGTCTTTTTGCCAGGTAGCAATCCTCCCATCTATGTTTATAATTTAGCTGGGATGATAGGCAAGTACTGCCATACTCAGCTATTGATTGAAATGCATCCTTGTGGATTTTTTTTTGGGGGGAGGGAAAGATGGGGACCCTAGGCTGGCCTCAAACCATGATCCTCCAAATGTCAGTCTCCTGACAGGTGTGAATCACTGCTGCGTAGCTTTTCAGTTTTATTTATTTACTTACTGTCTTTTTCAGTTTTATTTACTCATGTATGTATGTATGTATGTAGTACTGGGTTCACACATGCTAGGCTTTACTTTTTTTTTTTTTTTTTTTGGGTCCAGTCATGGGGCCTGAACTCTGGCCTGAGCTCTGTCCCTCAGCTCTTCAGCTCAAAGCTAGTGCTCTACCACTTGAGCCACAGCGCCACTTCCGGCTTTTTTCTTTTTTGCTTATGTGGTGCTGAGGAATCGAATCCAGGGCCTCAGGCATGCAAGGCAAGCGCTCTACCACTGAGCAAACTTCCCAGCCCTAGGCTTTACTTCTTGACCATGCCCACACCAGTCACACCCCCTGGGTCTGCCTTTAGAACAGCTTAATGGCCAAGCTTTCCCGTTTCCTCTTCAAGTTTAGTTACATGGTCTTGGGTATTAGTGTCTTTGGCCTCGGTTTCCTCATCTGTCAAAGGGAAATGTTGATCACAGGCAGGATAGCATAGACTACCATGATGCTACCCTCCTTTCTGCCCTGCCCCCTCCGCCTCATTCTGACCTTCCTACCCACTCTCTTCCCCCCAACCTGATCCCTGCAGATCCTCTGGACCTTCTCTATCTACTTGGAGTCAGTGGCCATTTTGCCACAGCTGTTCATGGTGAGCAAGACTGGGGAGGCGGAGACCATCACCAGCCACTACCTGTTCGCGCTGGGCGTCTACCGCACGCTTTATCTCTTCAACTGGATCTGGCGCTACCACTTTGAGGGCTTCTTCGACCTTATCGCCATTGTGGCCGGCCTCGTGCAGACAGTCCTCTACTGCGATTTCTTCTACCTCTACATCACCAAAGGTAAGCAGGATGCAGGGCTGGCTGGAGGGGTGCTGCCAGGCAGCCCCAAGCTCAGAGGTCCTGGTGCAGGAAGGAGGACCACATGGATGAGAGCAAGGGAAGGGAGGAGGTACAGGCTTCTCCAGCCCTGGGACACTTCTGGGGTCTCAGACCTCGCGATCCTGCTTCCCCAAAGACCAAGGAGTTAATGTCCCCAGTGTTTCCCTTCAAGTGGAGATCAGGCCAAACAGGGACTCTGACTCACCCCAATTCATTCATTCATTCATTCAACACATTTGTTGGTTACCTTCTGTTTCCTGGGCCAGCCCCTAGGCTCAGATCATCCTCTCCTCCCTTAAAGTCCTTCTAGGGAAGATACAGTGCATGAACTAGACAGGTATAGTGGTACCCAACTTCTTGTCCCAGCTGCTTAGGAGCCTGAGGCAGGAGGATCATGAGTTCAAAGCCAGCTTGGGCTACATAGGGAGACTATGTCTCAAAACCAAAACAAAGATATAAATAAAAGGGCTGGGGGTATGGCTGAATGGTAGAGGGCTTGCTTAGCTGAAATGCATGCCTTTAGACTCAGTCTACTAACACAGAAGAAAGAGGGGGAAGGAAGGACTTTTCAAAGGGAAGAAGGAAAGAAAGGAGGTAGGGAAGCTGGGAGGGAGGCAGGAAGACAGTTTCCAGTGGTGCAAACTATTAGTCAGAATATTCTTGAGGGGCTGGGAAGGTGGCTCAGCGGTTGAGTGCTTGCCTCTCATGCATGAGGCCCTGGGTTTGATTTCTCAGTACCACATAAACAGAAAAGGCCTGAAGTGGTACTGTGTCTCAAGTGGTAGAGTGCTAGCCTTGAGCTGAAGAGCTCAGGGACAGCGCCCAGGCCTAGAGTTCAAGCCCACGACCAACCAAAAAAACAAAAAACAGTATTCTTGAGGCACTGAGGAGGAGGAGGAGACTAGAGCAACCTGGGGTCTGACCTTCCTCTCTTAGATCTAGGGCCACTGGTCAGAGTTTTTGTTGGATGAGTAAGGACCACCTCTAGGAGAAACTGGGCCTCCCTTTGGCCTCCCCTGCTCAGCCCCTTGGATGAGGCCAGGGTTCCAGTTGCTGATCTAAGGTTTATTGAGGCAGACCCAGTCCCTTAGTTTCAGGATGAGGGGTCCTGGGGCTGTCCCTCCTCAGGTTTCCCAGCTAGCCTAGGGGCAGGAGGCTGTCCCCCTCTTCAGCCCATCTTGTGTCTCTCTTCCTTTACAGTTCTGAAGGGGAAGAAGCTGAGCCTGCCGGCCTAGCCCTGGTCCTGCCAGCCCTCTCCACAGCCGGCTGGGCGGGAGGCAGGGGAAGGTGAACCAGGTGACTGGAGACAAAGCGCCTTCCTCCTTCTCGTCCAAGGGTGACTTTTTAAAGAGCCCCACGTCTCCCCACTTCCCAACACCACTCCTGCCCAGTTTTGGGGTGGGGGTGTGTGGTGGAGGACCCGTATCTTGGGGAGCTCAGGACTTGAGCTGTTTGTAGTTTTTTGCCTTTTAGAGAAGAGAAAAAAAAATACAAAACTTTCCACTATTTAGTTTTTGATTCTGATGACTCCTTTTTCTCTTGTATTCTGATCCCCAATTTTTATAAACTGTTTTTGATTATCCTCTGGGCTGGGGCAGGGCTGGAGATCTTGTCCCTTCCTCAAGACCATCAGTCCCCCACTTTCAGATCCCAATCCCAGACTCCCCCCACTGATTGCCAAACACTACACCTGCAGAAGCCCCCCCCCCCACCTCCCATTCCCCTCTGTGGCCCCAAGTTCCTGGGCTGGATGGAGGTAAGGAGGAAGGGAGGCTGAGGAACTCTGATCTTTTCATACTAATTTTTTTTTTTTGCCCAGAATTTGGGATTTTTGGGGGGGTCTTGTTCTGATTTTTGACAAGAGCTGTGGGCCCGGGCGTGAGAAGGGGACAGGCCCGAGGATCACTCACCTCTAATGCCATGTTTTTTGTACAGAACTCAATGGTTCATTCTTTGTTCTCTTGAAATAAACAGAGGAAAATGATACCTGTCTTTTTGCCGTGTGGTGTCCGATCCCTGGGAGATGTGAAGCCCTGCCTGCGTGCCTCTGTCAGCTTTTGATTTTGGTAGAGGAACATGGGGTGCAGGAGGAGCTGGAAGATGGGAAATGGGGACTCCACAGGACTCTCAGGGTCACCTTGAATCCTCACAGCTCTGTTTGGGAAAGCTATTTGTAAGAAAAAAAATCTCCAGGATTCTTTTTACCTCAACCTGGAAATGGCCTGACCATTCTGTAGACCCTCAGGGCTGCCGAGGGCCTTTAAGAGCCTGTGTGGTGTTGGAGGGCACAAACAGGAAGCACCCATCCCTCCCTTGATTGACATGTTTGTTGCATGTTTTCTTAGGGAAAAAAAAAATGGGTTGCCAGCCTTTTAAAACCAGATTTTCACATTATAGTCGGAATTTCTGGCTTCTCTTGAAAAGAAATCCGTCAGTTTGACAAAGCCAAGCCCTCGTTTCTGGATGGCAACAGATGGCTGGAGCTGAATGGCTGGGATGCGAGCCGTGAGCCGAGGTCCCCAGGACTTGGCGACCAGGGTTATCATTTATTACCAAGCTGACACCATGTGTTTGTTTGTTTGTTGGTGGAGTTAAAAGGCAAGTGAAATATTTTCCAGATCCCTCTCCAGACTGGCTTTATACCTGGCCTATTTCCTCTATTTGTATCATCTGCCTGGCTCAGAGATATCTGGATTTTGTTGTTGTTGTAGAACTTAGGTTTGAACTTGTGGACTTGCACTGCTACTTGAGCCATACTGCCTATCCCTCTTTTTTTTAAAAATTAATTTATTTTTTGGGTCCGGTCATGGGGCCTGAACTCTGGGCCTGGGTGCTGTCCCTCAGCTCTTCAGCTCAAGGCTAGCGCTCTACCACTTGAGCCACAGCGCCACTTCCGGCTTTTTTTTTCTTTTTGCTTATGTGGTGCTGAGGAATCGAACCCAGGGCCTTAGGTATGCAAGGCAAACGCTCTACCGCTGAGCCACCTTTCCAGCCCGCCTATCCCTTTTTTCTTGCATATTACAAAAAAAATAGGCTCTGGATTTTATCCTCCTATTTAGGCTTCCTGTGTAGCTGAGACAAGAGGTGGATACCACTGCACCCAGCTTTTTCCTGGTTGATATGCGGTCTCTAAAACTTTTTGCTCAAGCTTGTCTTGAACTATGATCTTTCTGATCTTCCACCTCCTGAATAGCTGGGATTATAGTCAAGAGCCACCACTCCTGGTTTAGTCAAACTTTTTTCCCCCCAGAACTGAGACCAAACTCCAGGGCCTTGTAATTGCCAGGCAAATGCTCTTCCATTGAGCTAAATCTCCAAATCACTCTGTGTGTGTGTATGTGTGTAAGTCATGGGGCTTGAACTCGGGGCCTGGGCACTCTCCCTGAGCCTCTCTGTGCTCAAGGCTAGCACTCTACCACTTGAGTCACAGCACCACTTCTGGCTTTTTCTGTGTATGTGGTATTGAGGAATTGAACCCAGGGCTTCATGCATGCTTAGGCAAGCACTCTACCAACAAGCCACACTCAACCCTAGTCTAACTTCTTAATTGTCCTGTAGACTTTGCTAACTGCTTCATCACTCCCAGTTCTCCTATAAGGAAGTTGTTACTTAGTAGGTGACAGGCCCAGTCCCTTACATGAAAGGGTTTAACCTGTTTAACCTTAAAGACGAGGAAACTGATGGTGGATAGACAAGGCAAAGATGATTTGCAGCTGAACTTCCTGATACCAGAGACCTTGTTCGACCACTTTGGTGTTTTTAATTTGGGCAATCCTAGGGTTTAAACTCTGACTCTTACTCTCTAGGCAGGTGCTCTAATACTGAGCCGTGCCTCCAGCTCTGTTTTTCACAGGTTATTTTTAGGTACACTTCCCCACTGGGCATCTGCCTGAGTTTCCATCTTCCTACTTTAGGCTTCCTGTTACTGGGGATCTCAGAGGCATGCTACTGCATGCTCCTGCCATCCTAGCTACCCTGGAGGCTGAGACCTGGAGGATCCAGGTTCAAAGCCAGCCTGGGCAGACAGCCTGTAAGATTCCATCTCAAATTAACCAGGAAAATGCTCCAGTGGTATAGCTCAAGTGGTACAGCAAGAAAGCTGAGAGTGTCCTGAGTTCAACCCCCAGTGTGTACACACACACACACACACACACACACACACACACCTCCCTGCCTGTCATTCATGAACTCAGCTTCCCTGACTCATCACCAGCTCTTCACAGCATGGTTTTTTGTTCATCCCTTGTCGCTGTGGGGAGTGACAGGACTCAGGCTTTCACAGCATCTGGGGGTGCCAGGTCTCTTTGTTCCACTGTTGGCCCTGGTTCTTGCCACTGTCTCTGTGGGGTGGCGGCATTTTCTCTCTGAACTTCTGCCTCCCAGCCGTGGTTAGTGTGGGGCTCAGGGACCTGACAGGACTCGGTGACTGCCTCCTCCAAGGCCTGAGAAAAAAAGTGCCTTCCGCCTCTCATCACTGCCAGTCTGCTGCTGTGGAGGTGGTGTCCGGGAGCGGGGAGGGGGGTAGGAGTGGGGTGGGGAGGTGGAGGCCCCAAGGTGACCTGGCTGGCTTCCACACCCTCCCTGGGCCCACCCAAGGAACGAGCAGGACAGACACGAGAGCGACAGGGCTGGTAGGGAAGATATCTCTTTACTATTTAGTTGTCAGGCATCATGGCGAGGCGGGGGCCCTTCGGCGCACTCAGATAGGGGGACACCGCTGAGCTGGCAGCGGATATGCTGACAGGGCTGGCAGCCGAGGGTGGGGTGAGGGTGTTTAGGACCACACCACCTTCATCCAGGGAGCGCTTGTAGGGGACTGGAACATCTTTCCGGAGGTCCTGGAAGGCCATGTAGGCCTGGAAGGCCTGTGGGTGGGAAAGGGGCGGCTGAAGGTGGAGGCTGGGGCTGTGGCCTGGTCTGAGGGGTCATGGGACAGTTGTACCAACAGCTCAGCTGGCTAACATTGCATTGAGAGGGGCACTTGGGGGAGGCCAGCAGGCACCGCCCTCCCATCCCACCCTGCTGGGGTGTGGGGCTCCTCACCCAGACAGGGATGGAGAAGAAAGCAAAGGCAATGGCTGCTTTGGCGCTGCTGTTGCCCAAGAGGAAGTGATTGTGTCGTGAGTGCTGCCACTGGCCGGCCAGGAAGCAGAAGCCTGTGAACCACACTCCTGCCCAGAGGACTGCGGGTGATTGGAAGGAGACAAGAGGGGATGGGGGAGAGTGTGCTCAGGGAGAGTCCCTGGGGGGTACAAGCCACAGAGTCCTTTCTAAAGGAGCTCTGCCCATCCTGTGTGGCTGCGTCAACCTCAACTGAGAAAATTATACTGTGAAGGGAATTGGAGAATTGGATCTCCCCCCACCGCCCCGCCCCCTGCACGCCCCCTGCACTGGCCATGTGTGCAGGGTGGCCACGTGTGGCCATTAGCTCTGTGTTTGGAAAGCTCAGGAGCAGACACCTCCACCCTCATAGAAAGTTCTCTTAGCCAGCACTGGAATCCATGACCTGGGCCCTCAGACACTGGGACTGGCCTCGCTGGGAGGGAAGAGAGGGGAAGAGTTGAAATCCAAACAAAGAAGGGGAGGGGGTATATGTGTGTGAGTGCAGAGAATGTATAGGAACAGTCAGGCTGTGCATGGGGAAGGGAGGGGCAGGGCCTGGGAGTGGGGTGGGCGTGGGGGAACTCACCAGCCACGATGAAGTCCAAGAGCTGACAGGATGTCTTGAAGCGGGTGCTGGCAATGCGGTTCTCGTGGGCATCCAGGGCCAGGAAGACCAGGGTGCTGAGGAAGGAAAGGAAGCCAGCGCCCACCGCAAAGCTGCAGGCTGTGTTGTTGCTCTTGAGGACACAGAGAAGCTGGGGAGACTCTGTCGTGTTCTGGTAGCCATCCGTCAACAAGGAGGAAAAGATGACCAGGGAGAAGATCTGCAGACCCCCAGGGACCAGCGCAGAGCTCAGCGTCTCCCTCGAGTTGTTCTTCCTTCCTGGGGCCCAGGGGTGTGGGGCTATTCTTGTCCCCACCCCACACACTCAGCCCCCTGCCCTTCACCCCCAAGGAGTACAATGCTTGCCTGGCATGTGTGGGTCCTGGAGATATCTCCAATGCTACCCCAAAACAAATGATCAAACAAACAGACAAGGCTGGAACACCAGGTAAGGTAAGCCAGGGCAAGGTAAAGCTCTCATTTGAATTTATCTTTTTGCCTGGCCCGGGTGAGATCTGAGCTTAGAGAAGTCATCTGAGTCGTGTTGCTGATGGACTGGAGAGCAGGGCAAGACAAGAAGCTCGTGGAGCTGAGTGCCAGGTTGGTGGGAGGCCCAGGCGAGAAATGCTGAGGTCAGAACCCTGGAGAATCCAGGAAGATTTGGGACGTGAAATCGGACCTGGTGATTGATTGGCTATGGCAGTGTTGACAATAGGAGTTGTTGGTGGTGGTGTACTTGAACTCTTGCCCAACGGGCCCCCTCCCAAGAGTCCCAGCACCCAGAATCATGTTGGCCCTCTATAGAAATGTGTGAAGAGTGAATGATTGACTTCTTTTGTCCTTGCTGTACCCTTCAGAGTTGGGGAGGGGTGTGTGGGGAGGAGGCAGAAAACTGACCCCGAACTCCTCAGGGCTTCTCGTGTTCCTCTTGTCCTTCATGTTAATCAATTCACAACAACACAACAGCAAGTCCCTCTTTCTGTCAAGCATTTCCATGTCCACTGAGATCCTTGGGCAACTCTGGGAGCAAGCCATCACATGGTCACCTGGTCTTGGGGCCCGTGGATGGGAGCACCTGGCATTGCTAGCGTGAGGCTGAGCCAGGTGGGGGGTGGGGGTGCATCCATCATTTTGGAGTACGTCATTCTACCTGCACCTGGAGCCTCGTGCCAGCCCCACAAGGGAGGTGTCATTAATTCATTTCTGTTTTGCGAGTGATGAATGGAGGCTATTATGGTGGGGTGAAAGGAGGTGGACATGGCTGGCTCTGCCAGCTGTGTATGGCCTTGGGCATAAGTCTGGGGCCTCACTTTCTCAGACTGTCATTATGCTCCAGAGAGGAGGAATGTGGGAAGTGGGGTTCAGGAACATGGCGGTTGTCACGACTGGCCCAGAGAGAGGAAGTGTCCTCTCAAGGTGAGTCAGGCGGAGGGGTGGGGTTGAAAAGCAGAACTCCGGATGTCCAGGTTCCTGGGCTGGCTGAGTGCCCACCCACCCAGAAGATCCTGGCTGTGATAATGCCTAGGATAGTAGAGGTGTGGGCAGGGGGCTCAGCTGGTCCAGGGACCCTATGCCTCAGTTGCCTGAGTCCCACCTCCTTCTACGCCCTCTCTGGCCTGTCCCTGGGGAAGGAGCAAAGATTCATCAGTTAAGACACCAGCTGGCAGACGGCATGGGGAAAGGACAGAGTACCAGCTGCCCAGAGACTCCCTGCTGAGGAGCCAGACCAGGGGGGAAGGAGGAGGACAGGTAGGAGGAGAATGGAGACAGCGGGGCAAAGTCCGTGACCAGTCTGGCACAGTGGGAGGCCCTTCCCCCCCTGCCCGCACTCCTCCACACCAGCTGGGCCTCCTCCTCCCTCACCGCCAGCCCTTTATTCCCAGGCTTTGAGAGTTTGACTTGTTCACTAGTGGGTGATGTCCTTGGGCAAGCTGCTCAGCCTCTGGGAGCCTTAGTTTCCCCTCAGGTGATCTAGGGACTATAACATTCATGTCACAGGGGGAGCAAGAAAGACGCCTCTACTGGCAATGGACCTGATGCTCAGATCTGACATTTGCAATTTCTCTTTCCCCAGGGGACAAAGACAATATGATACAGGTATCTATCATCTTAGGCACCTGGAACCAGCTCTCCCCTTGAGCACAAGTCATGATCTGTTCTAATTATAATAAGTGCTAGTCAGGCATGGTGGTACCTCTGCTAATAATCCCAGCTATTGATTGGGAGATGGAGGAAGGAAAATCTTGAGTTTGAGCCCAGCCTGGGAAACGTTAGAGAGACTCTGTCTCATACACAAAATATAAACCAAAGTCCTAGAAGCATGTCTCAAGGGGTAGAGCAATTGCCTAACAAGTATAAGGCCCTGACATCAATCCCCAGTACTGCAGAACAAACAAAACAAAAATTCTGCTATTTAATGAAAACTTAGCTGGGCACCAGTGGCTCATGCCTGTAATCCTAGCTACTTAGGAGGCTGAGATCTGAGTATCGCAGTTCAAAGTCAGCTGTGGCAGAAAAGTATGTTGAAACTCTTATCTCCAATTAACTGCCCAAAAAGCTGGAAGCAGCACTATGGTTCAAGTGGTAGAGTGCTAGCCTTGAGCACAAAAGCTCAGGTACAGCACCCAGGCTTTGAGTTCAAGCCCCAAGACTGACACCCCCCTAAAAAAATCTGTTTGAAGACCCTATGTTTGATACAGAGCACCCCACCTCCTCCTGTGTTGCTGATCAATGCTTGTCATTTTTTGGGGGGGGGGGTCCGGTCATGGGGCCTGAACTCTGGGCCTGGGCGCTGTCCCTCAGCTCTTCAGCTCAAGGCTAGCGCTCTACCACTTGAGCCACAGCGCCA